GAGTGAAATCAAGAGTTTTCATAGAACAAAGAACTGAATTTCCTTCCGGAGTAACTCATCAATTAACTTCTGATTACTTTCATTGTGCTGAATTATGCATCTTGGTCTGTTTTATATTTGTAAATAGGCTTGGAATTTGTGGTTTGAGACTTGCATTTTGATAATATCTTCTTCATTCACTTGTGAGCTATAGCTATTTTTCTCACACTAGTCTTGTCTGACTACTAGAAAGGGATAACTTTGATCATTTTCTTAACTATTAAAGATGTTATGCTTGGCACAATCTTATGTTTTGGTTGATGATTTGTCTTTTCATTAATAAATTTCATAATTTGTTGGCTTTGAATTATTCCTGATGACAGAAATGTAGCCATCCAAATATCATTGGCTGCCGCACTTGTTCACAAGATAATCTGATGGGGTCTTTCTTTAATAGCCATGGACATCTACTTGAACCAAATTTTAGTAAGTTTTTAGATGAAGAAATTCGCTCAGGTAATTGAGAGTTTCTAAACTAGTCATATGAAGGACCTAAGATCTTATATGGATAACTTTTAAGGCTATTGAGTCCCAACAAATTCTGTGGTTCTATTATCAAACGCCTGAAATATAAAATGATCAATGAAGCAGAATATAGGAATTTTACAAATGAATATCACGAGAGAAAAAAGAAAAGGGTTGGAGTACAATGTGAAATTAGGAAAGAAGTGCTCGTAGACAAATAGAGAGGATTCTGTTCAATGTAAATCAGATGTAATCTGTTACACTATACTTTTTCTAGACGCTCATTTCTTGTCTCTTTTAAATTTTGGGAAGGTACGAATCTTGCTTTTTGAAGGTTCTTTTAGAGGTGTAATGTAGATGCAATGGTTGCATAAAGTTGATTTTTAGTTCTTAATGAAGAATGTTGATTTAAGTTCTGATATGCTTCTTGAGTCTCCACTTTTCCACCAAAAAAGCTTGTCAACTTAAGCAAGCCTTTCAATATGCATTCTATGTTAAAGGAAGAGAGTATGTCTGGAGATGTGTTTAAGTTGACCTTTATTGTGTGTCGGGATATTCACGGTGGTAGAGAGATAAAGAATTTGTTGTCTTAGCGTTTATATAAAGATTCAACACATACAATAGAGGAGAGTAAAGTGTAATAATTAAGAGACGCTATAGTTTTCATACATAAAACTCAAGAAAAATAAAAAACATAAGGACCGGCCTCGTTAAAATTATACCAATATACCATTAGTGTTTGTCATCTGTTATAAATAATGCCCTTCATCGAGGGAGGCATTAATTCAATGTAGTAAACATACAATTTATAGAACATATTACATATTTAAAGTTGGAATGGCCATGTTCCATGGGAGCTCTCTTTAAGAGATCGTTTGTTTGTTTTTTTTTATTTGGCCGATCTCCTTTGAGAAAAGGTGGCCAGAGGCCTCGAAGGCCAACCTAAATCCTAGTGTTGACATTGGGAGTTAGAGTTGCTGTTAATGACATGCATTGATCTTATAAATAATAACATGGGTTGGCATCACTCACGATGGTAGGTGATGGATTGAACGAGCGATGATGGTTGAGGGACTGTTGATAGGCAATAGAATTTGGAGGAGTGTTATTAGGCGACAGGGATTAGAGGACCATAGTCAGCCGACGATTGGTCAGTGAACTGTCATTCCCAGGATAAAAAAAAAGATCTTGCATGTTCATTATGCGAATAACCCTATCTTTTTTTCCCCTTCATATTTAGATTTATTTGCAATAATACTCTTACTCAAAATATGTCTTATTTATGCCTCATATTTCTAACTCTGCCCTCATTTTTTTCCCAGCCTCTTAATTCAAGTGGCTACATAAACATAACAATAGGCAAACCATATTTGTTCATAAGTTGCAGGCCAAAAATCTCTAGAACTGCAGCCTGTTCATGGACTCTAATTGATTTGGGTGTCTTGTCTGGAAACACTATGACATGGAGAATTCCCTGTGGGAATGCGGTGCACACAAGAGCTGTAACTATTATAACCTTTCTATCAGCTATTTTCTGCTCTTTTTTTATAGTGTTGTCAACCATTTATCATTCTAAGCAGGACAAAAGCAAAATGGGATAGCCATAATTTAGCTCTTATCCTTCTTATGTTCTGTTAGGTGTATATAACTCTCTTGATTTGTTGGGTGAAATCATGAATTTTGAATATTTGAACAATGCTAAATGGGATGAGATTTTTGTTTGAAATGGTACTCTATGAGTGAAAGGATGGTTCATTGGTTCAAAGAAAATGCTTTTTTTTAAATGTAAAAAAATTTAGGCTTTATCATAGATATTGATGAAATTTAGGTGAGAATATTTGATTTATATTTGGTTAGGAGTGGGCTTGTAGTCATTAAACTTTGAAATAATTATGATATATAGCTCATCAAAAAATAAATTTAATTATATATAAACTGTTTGCAATTATTAATCAAGATATTTTGTTTTTTATTCTATTAGCACTTTTCGTCTTTGCATGTACACTTGCCCGATTTCATCATTTACAAAACTTTTGGAATGTTTTTTTTTTTTTTTTTTTTTTTTTTTTGAGATTTAGGTCAGTTAAGGCAAACTCACACACACAACGCATACGCATAGACTCGAACCTTAGACCTCTTAGTTGGAAGCCTAAGCTCTCAATCAATAGGCCAATGACAGTTGTGTATGGAACATCAAACCTTTAGACCTCTTAGTTGGAATGTATTTTCAATACAACAATAAGAACATTAAACCTTTATATTCCACTATGTTTGATTAGCTACATGAATCCTTTTTCTCTATTTGTGTCCTATTAAAAGTTTTAGTTCTTTTCAATATAAAATTAATAATAGACCTTTTAAATTCATTAATTGATTTTTTTTTAAAATGTAATACTTTTTAACATTTTTTTTGCATATCTTTTTTAACTGGTATTTACTTGATACACATGCATTATAAATGTAACTGAAACTTACTTTTCTACATAGTATATGGGAGAATTAAGGCCGAATGGCATTCATTACTATATTGAAAGCGCATATGGAAAGCTCAATTACAATTCATGTGAAACGAAAGAAAAAACAGAGGAACTACGAACAAAAAAGCAAACCGAATTGAGCTCAAAAATATCAAATGACAAAAACAATAAAACCTACCCAAAACAACTCCGAAAGCGAAATTAAAAAAAAAAAAAAAGATCCCAGAATTTAGCTAAGGAGTTGTCAAAAGAAAATGGCGCTTATTGCATTAATTAATTAATATATATAGGAACAAGCCACGCGTTGTCATTCCTGAAAGGGTGTCTGATGTCATGACTAGTACTCAGCTAATCTAAAAGAGGCCAACCCCAGAAACCTCGTGACCCGCATTTGATTGGGCCCCACTTAAGAGGCACTGCCGCTCAAGAGGAATCGAGCACAGGTTGAGAGTTCTCATTCATACTCGTCCACCAACCAAACTAAGCATCGATGCGTCATTAATTAAAAATTTGAATTTAATTATGTTGAGTTGAACGAGTTGAATCCTTTCATCAGTCTTAGATCTTCTCACCCGTGTAGCTTTTTAGGTGGGTGCCCATAGGACAGTTTGTCCTAACAAGTCCTTAGAGGCGCAACCTTACTTCAACCAGTTCACCCCAAATTAGAGAACACTGTCCTCTTTGAATTTGATTAAATATTCTTCAATTTTCATATTAATATCAAAATAATTTAGTTATTTTTAAAGCCCAACTACATACACTTCGTATTAAGATATACTTTCATTTGGGTCAACTTTTTTATTATTTTATAAAGCTATTTTTTAATAAAAAATCTCTTAAAAGTGAAAAAAAAAAAAAAAAAAGTCCAAAGCCGTTTGAAATGAAGCCATAATCACACAAATTTTCTTTTTAAAATTTTATCAGCACATCTTAATAAGCCTCCAAATTTATAGGCTGGACTGTAAAGTGATCTCAAATTTAGAAATATCTATCACGTCAAATGGAGTCTTAAGGCTTTATTTAATACAGTTTTTTTATTATTTTTTAAACAGTTTTTTAATACAAAATAATAATTAATTTTTTATTAAAAAACTGCTTTAAATAGTAAAAAAAGCAGTCTAAGGCTTTGTTTGAGATGGCTTTCTTGTTATTTCTTTTTTTTTTGGGGAAAGCTTTCTTGTTATTTCTTAAAACAACTTTTTAGTACAAATATTTTAATTATTGAACTAGAAAACTATTTTAAAAATCAGCAAGAAAACCCTAAACCCTAAATTTATACACAAAACTTCGTTTTATACATCACAGAACTTCCTATTCATTTTCGGTGTTACATGTTTTGACCTGAATAATAATATCATATAAAATACATAAGAATATATTATAAAAGAGTTATTTATAAAATATATATATATATAAGAATTGAGGAATATATGATGACCGAATAATAACACGAGTAACAAATATGTCATCCCAAACACCAATAAGATTATGAATAATTGAAGCCTTTATTGAAAATGAGTGTGCAGACCATCACTTCTTCAAGTGACCTTAGTACTAATATATAATTTTATTTTATAGGAAAATCACAAAAGAATTAAATGAAATTGGAATACAAAATTCATTAGCTTTTTTAAGTACTTATTTGAACAAATTTTCAATGAATGCATATATATATATATATATATATATATAAAAAAGAGTTTCTTTCCCTGCTTTAATTTTTTTTTTTCAGAACATGTGCATCGCTTTAGGCTTCATTTGAGATGACATTCTTAATGCTTCTTAAAGCAACTTTTTAATACAAAAATTTACAATTTTTGTGCTAAAAAACTATTTGAAGAAGCAATAAGAAAGCAGTTCCAGACGAAACGGCTTTTTTGATGCTTCTTAAAGCAGCTTTATTAAAAAGCCGCTTCAAGAAACAATAAAAAAACCGTCCCAAACAAAGCCTTAACTTCTAAATCTAACCTTTTGAAGAATTTGGATTAAGATTTAAATTAATGTCTAACTTCAAATACATCTCCAAGCCCTTCAATACCTATATTATACACAAGTGGGTGTTCAAGAATCATTACGTATTAGAGTTATCTTATTATACAAGAAGCAATAAATAATACCTGCCTAATATTTTATTTTCCTTTTATTAGTTAGGCCAGTGTTCTCCTGTGAAGATACTGTTTTAGGTAGGCCGTAAAAGAAGCGGCAGTTGTTGAAGCAACTAACCAACTGCAAAAATAAGAAAGTGAGGAAACTAAGTATTCACATTTTGCATTGAAAACTATGAAAGAAGTGTATTGTATTGACAAAAATTTCTTTTGCCATCATTTAACATCAATGAATTCAAGAGAACAAAAAATTTGAAAAGTATATCTTAACTCTGTGTTATAATCAGTTAATAGTATATCTGGATATTCATTGAAAAATATAAAATCCTGCACATACTTCAAAAGGCATAATAAAATACAAATTTAAAAGGTTTCCTATCAAATAGCACCAAATCATTCATATAAATAGATGCTCGAGTTATTGGATATATCATGATCGATACATAAATGGATCGAGTCATTTGCTCTTTTACCCAAGAAAAAGTCTTTCTATTTTGCATGGTCCAATCATTGATCCCCGGAATTTCTACAATAAATTTGATAGGTAACTAGTAGAATTCTTGTATGTATATGAATTATTGTATGTTTCCTATCAAATAGCACCAAATCATTCATATAACATCCAAAACAAATGCCTCCATGAACATTAAATTAAATGGTCATAAGCTCAAACTAACAATAACAACAGCAACATCAAATCCCACTACATGGAGTCAATTACATGAATCATTTTTCTCCATGGTGTCCTATTAAGAATCAAATTCTTATTTAAATATAATAAAAAGATAATTTTTTTATACTTTGTAACCAAGTTTTTTTAGGTCAACATCAATTTTTCTTAACATAGGCCATATCTAATACATCTACTCTCCTAAATGGGTCATCATAAGCCCAATGTTTTATGAGACCAAACCATCCAAGTTGCCTCTGATGAGGACATCGACAGACGTTTTCGACGAGTATATCAGCACAGGAGTCGCATATCGATGGCTACGATCCACAACCTTTATTTTGATGGTTTATGTATTAATTGGTATTTATGGTTGTACCCTTTATTTTGAGTCTACATGAGTTGTAGCCCCAGAGGCATTTGAATCATTGTATTTTATTTTCTTAGGCCTATATATTGTAGCATCCTCTATTATATCGGATGATGAATGATGAATGAGAATTCCACTTTTCTTTCTTGATCTCTTTGTGAGTTCTTGAGAGGAGAAGCCCCAAGTGAGGGTGAGAGCAATACCCGTCAACCTCAGTGGATTCCTAGGTTCGCGGTTCGTCGTCTTCTTCTTTTCTCCTACATCCCACCCCCTCAATTCCCCATAGCACCCGCCGGCCTCCCCCTTCAATCTTCTCTATTTTTTTTTTCCCTCTCAAAGACTAGCCTCCTCCCTGAACCCCTACCGCCGGCCCCTTTGGCTCCCAAGCCGCCGGCCTCCAGTCAAGGCCCAATGGCTGACCCAGCCCGCTGGCCACCCCTCCATACTCCCCTAAGTTTGAATTTCAAATTTCAAATTACCCATAATTACTTTCCTAAAATACATCCATGCTATTTAGGAAATATTCATTATTGAGATCCAATCATTTTGAATTTCAAACACCTTCCTATGAAAATAACCCCTCATTAGGAAGTTACCTTAATTAAAATCTGATTTGATTTAACTCACATTAACTCCATTGGGGACCACATGCATTGCATCTAGACATATTCTCCCCTCCTATGGCCGACCCCCTCCTCCATTGGATTTTTCTCTCTCCAATTAAACCCTCGCCCCAATTAATACTCCTTAATTCTCTCCTAAAGCTGCCGCCTCCCATCAGCCCTAACTTTGGGGTTAATTTAAATTCAAATTTCCCTCCCACTAATTAATTCTAAAATATGAAATTAATTTCAAATTTTCCCACCCAACCTAATCTTTGCTAAGCCCTTATCTGCCCCACTCTTACCCAATCCCTCTCCCTCTTCCTATCACGGCCGATCCTCTCTCCCCAAACCGCCACCCCTCCCTCTCTCCTTACCACCTCTCAAGGCAAGTATGCATGGCCAATCTTGAGTTTGACCACAGCTTTGTTTACAATGCCCGAGGAGATATAGATATCTTCCGATCTGCTTTCTACAAACCAGATTGGGAGTACGACGGCTCGATGGAACGCTACGTCAACCGTATCGTTTACTGCCTTGCCGAGACGATCGAGCTCCAATGACCTAGAACACCTTGGCTCCTAGTCTGAAGATCCTTGCATCCTCCACCATCGGCTACCTTCCCAACAACAAAGCTCCTCGGTTCTTTCTTACTAGTGGTGATTTCAAGTCTAGTTTGGAAGATCTTCATACGCTAAGCCCTAGAACCGTAGAGTGAGAAGACCTTCAAGATGAACATCTCATTATTAAATTTCGTATTTATGTTACAAGCTATTAGTATTTCTATTGCATTTGTATTTGACTAAGAGTGTCTTGGTTAATCTACATGTGTTTCTTTGCCTAAGCAAGTGGAAAACTACGAATCCTTAAAACTTCCTTTTGTCTTGAAGCATAATTTTATAAAGGTAAACTTTCAACAACTTTTTTATTAATTTTCTCGCTAACTCCTGGTAGTTTAACATCAGGCTCTCTTTAATCTTATCTACCATTGGACCTACTCCAACATTTTCACGTATATACTCGTTTCACATTCTCTCACTTAAGTATAAAGCCACTTATCTACCTGAGCATCATAATCTCTGCAACACTTAACTTAATTTTATGCTTCTCTTTTAATGACTAACATTTTGCACGATAAAGCATTCCAGGTCTTACCATCATCTAATAGAATTTTTTCTTAAATTTGAGAGACGATTTTCTATCACACAACAACCCCGATGCATTCACTCAAACTTTAGAATAGCTATAATCCTAACAAATTCAACAATAAAATTACGCCACATCAATTGCGCCAAATTCATTAGTTAATATTATAAAAAGACGTGCTAAATCAATGATCCGCATGGTTTCCCATATATAGGTCAAATAGCTTATATCTGATAAAATTTTATTTATGACTCAAAATCCTTATATTTGGTTACAAAATTTTACATACTTTATAATGAGTTTAATGAGTAAAAGTGTAAAACCATTTCTATTGGAATAAAACAGCACATATGCGATAAAACCTTATGGTTGAAGATCAATGATCTCGTGTCAAATTAAAGGCTGAGAGAGAGAGAGAGATGAAGAAGTCGTTTTATAGCATTAATTGCTGCTAGTTGATCTGGCCGCACTTTAAGTGCAGTTCTAAATTTCAACTTAACATTAGTCATAAAAATCAGATTTCAACATAAGATACTGGATAATATCTAGACTTCAAGTATCAATTTAACATCAAATCCTAGATTATATCCAATATATTAATGTGGATATTAATGTAAAAATTTTGACTAATGACCAGATTTGAAGCTAGTAGGTTTAAATCCAATTTATTCATGGAGTTTTCAAGGTTCTAATGATTAGTAGAATTCTTTATGTATAGTGCTCAATGGATGTCAACTAATTACCTCAAGTATGTTATGTACAATTCCGATTGTTCATCTCCAAGTTCTGGTTGTAGAAGAGCAGCAGCTACTAAAAGTAGTTGGAGGACTGTATTCACCTGATAACAGTGTATGTTCGTGGGAACAATGAATAAGAATAATTTAATTTCAAAAACATTGAAGAAAAAATATGAATGGAAAAGGGCATACTTTGCTAATCAGGAGAGGCTCCACCTTCTCCCTATGAGCATCATCCAAGTTTACAAAATCAGACCAGCTTTTCCACTAAATGGAAGTTAACGTTCAAATGGTCAGATTTTCTCAACAAGCTCATGTGGTTATATTCTCAATGGATATGAGAATACTCACCTGCCAACCCAAGCTGGAAGCTCTTGTGAAAACTGCTCCGCATACAAGAGCGGCATCTCGTAATATAACAAGGCCCACGAGGCCAGCTTCAAAAAGCCAAAAGTTTTAGTCAAAAAGACAACCATGAACACAGGCTTCCAAAGAAAGCACTGCAAAATTCCACCGAAATTACGATACAAAACATGAAAAAAAACTCTTCATTAAAAACAAAGAATAGTGAACAACCATAAGCAATATTTACTGATGGATGGTACTTCGCCATTTAAAAAAGAAGAACACATAGCGTTGGGGTATATTAAATATAATTGATAAAGCCAAATTTCTTCATCTCTTAGGGGCTATTTGATGTGATGAAAAGTGTGTAAAGTATTCTAAAAGCAAGGGTTTTAGAATTTTGGTATTTGGTTTGATGAAGAAGGAATGAGAGTAAAATTTTGATGAATTCCAAATTCATTGTGCAGCTCATTTTTTTAATTTATTCAAAGCTCATTTGATTGTGGCAGAATTCTGAATACACCGCAAGCTAACTATGTTGTTGACCCCAATTGTTGGCCACAACTGCCAGCCAGTGTTGGCCAATCACCACTGTCTGTCGATGATGCCCACCACTGTCGCTACTAGCCACTGAATATCATTGACCGCAACTCCTCGCCATCAACGCGCATGAGCCAGCCCACCCATAGCGATTCACCACCTGCCCACCCGCCTGCGATTAGCCGCCACATGCTAGTCGTCCCCCCCTCCACTCACCAGTACCGCCAATCATCATTGTCATTCAGCTTTAGAATGCATTCATTTTACTTCAAATCAAATAAAAAAAATCACCTACATTTATTTTACACTTCCAAACAACACTAAACATTTCAAATACATTGTATTCTATGTTGCACCGATACGGATACGGCGACACGGATACGATACGATACGGATACGGGACACGTCAATTCTTAAAAATACAGGATACGGGTACGGCGCGGACACGACATTATAATTTATAAATCATACATAAAAATTAAGAAAGCAATCAAAACATAATATTTGATATTACAAAAAAAAA